CTATATTCTTAAATAAAGAATATATTCTTAATTTCAGAAGAATATCATCTAAAATTTTTAAGAAGATTTTTTAAGTATAAAATCTTCTACTTACGAGAATATAATTTTTTCGGTGTATATAAAACACACACACACACACGCGCTCATTCACGCATGAGTGTTTCTTTTACCCTCTAATCTGCCCGTGACAGCACTTTTGCATTTTAGACTCATTCCCGTTATCTCTAAACTGGTTTTCCTTTTTCCGCTCCTTCGACTGATATTTCGGATGATATCATCACACTACCACGAAATATTTTTTCGCGACGCACTAAAAGGTTGCTCTCTTATCAGTCGTTGTGAGGAGTCCGTATCTTTTACCGAAAGGGCCCCCGAAAGGCGCAGAGATAGCGCAACTTTGAAGGTTGCCCCTTTCTCTCTCGCAGAGACCTGCCCTCTAATCTTCATTCTCTGAGCGGCTAAGTGGGTTTTCGAGTTCGAGAATGTCTCTCCGGCTCTCGACCTATTCCGCGCGTACACCTCAGCAAATGCGTGCGTCGTTAGTGCCTCTCTTATTCTTTTTATCTCGAGAAATTGATGGCACACTGCGCCGCTCTCGCTGCGTCGTCGTTTTCCGTCGATTTCTTTGCATCTCGCAAGATAAAAGCAACGAGCTGCGCGTTCCAAGTTGTTTTTTTGCTCTTAAACGTTTTATCGTAATTTTTCTATTTAATTGCACACATAATTTAGGTTCTTCTTTCTTGTGTTTAATATTGTCACGTGAATTAATAGTATGTATATACGTATAGGATATATATAAATGTATACGCGTTATGTATACACATATATATATATAACGCATAGATAATATAAATATAAATGGTAATATTTGTTTTTACTAAAATAAAAAACAATAATTTGTATAATATAAAAAAAAATAATTAAAAACTAATTTCTCATATATTCACAAATTACGGTATTTAATAGTACGTACCGAACAAACTATAATATTTTGCATTTGATATCCGCTGGGCTTAAAAATGTAATAGAACATACGTATGTGTGTGTCACGTAACGTGTGCGTCAGTGACTAATAAGAAATATCGATCTTTTTCTATTGCGACATTCAGATGTTTAAATTTAAATCTATCCAAAATGTTCCGCATTGTTTGCCTCGCATAACAAAGATAGCAAGAGAAAGAGAGAAAGAGAGGAAGAGCGCGTATATGTATAATATAATTCAATACACACATAATTTAATCGAGCATTACTTAGATTATCTCGAAACATATAAGTGATTTCAACTATTGTGTCGTTAACGATCGTCTTGGGATTCCACGTGTTTCGTGTCAAGAAGAATTGTTTTCCACCGTATCATTTGTGGTGTCTAATCCCCATTAGATATGTACGCCCGTAGGTGGTTGGGACAGATCCGGTTTTAAGTAGACTAGAATCCCCCCGGCATGCGATGCGTATCGAATTGATTTTCGATCGTGATTTATACACACAAGAAGCTCGCTTTATACGTTGACGTCGCGATGATACCGCGACGAATTCATGTTTAGAGCTCACATTCTCTCGTTTATTTTCCACAAAAAAAAATAAAAACCGAATTGTTAAACACAAATTTAATATACATTTTATAGAATGTCGTAAAAAAACCAATAAGACATTTAGTTTTGAGCAAACAAATATGACATATATTACATGCGTTTTTTATTTTTGTTTTTAGATTCCTGAAGAGCAATCGGTACGTAATGGACGCGGTGTAAATTATTTATGATTTAATGCCGAGAGATGCGTGTGTGTTGCGACACTTTACGGACTTTGCGGGCTTTTCTCACCTCGAGACGATAAGACGAATTGTGAAAAAAAAATACAGGTATGGTATATTGTATGTAATATTTTTTTCTATTATCTGTTTTTTCTCTGTGCGTATTACGCATATAAAATTAATAAATGAAAATTTGTCGCAAATTCTAGATCGTCCGCAGCGGGTTCGTGACGTATTAGTGTGGAAAAGATGCGTATCGCGTTTGGCGCTCTATATGCGTAATACGCACGTATTGTTTCTCTCGTACAGTTTGTGCGTCGCAAAATTGATCTTGAACACGCGTTTGTTCACACGCCGCGGATGTAATTCTTGACTTGATTGTACACCGCTGATCGACTAACGAACAGAAAATATATAAATAGAAGCTGTGCGGGAGATAACTGGTGCCGACAGGCTGGCCGAGTCTGTATTAAAGCGATTTTTTGTTACGCTCACTGGATAGCTTTCAAGTTCCAGCAGCCGCGTGTCGGCCAGCACGGCGCTGTCGGATCGCAAGCGATTGAATATCGCGCGCTAATAATATTATCGAGGACAGAGACGTGTATTCTACAGAATTGTTTTCTATAGAGAAATTTTCTATAAAAATTATTAACGAAACTGAATGCATCTTATATTGCTTAAACATTATTTTGACCCATGTACCAGTAATCAATTTCTGTATACTCTCTTGTAGACTCTTTTGCCAATCAAATTAATAGATATATATAATATAT